GTTGTCAATCCATAATGATGTAGGTGAGGCGTGCTGGTGGACCATCCATCCAGCTTCCAAGCAACGATCAGAAGGAGAAAAAGTACGTGTTGGAGATGATCTTATTTTAGTCAGTGTCTCTTCGGAAAGATACTTGGTAAGTTCTGTAAGAATATCTGTGCAGTGCCACTTCTACAGAAAAACATTTAATAAAGACGTTACACAAAATCTGGTTTACATTCTCACTTCCACAAAAGTATGGATTAAACTGATGTTTAAACTGGCGCTTGATGCTATTTTGCAAGTTAAGATGTTGTAGGTCCGGAAAGTGTGACACTAGTAATGTGACTGATCTAATTTGCATTCATGGCTATAATAAAATAGAAATTCAAAAATTACTAAACAAGGGAAGAAGAAGAAAACAGAATCCATCCACGTTGAGATGTTTCGAGTCTCTGTCAGTGTTCTAAGGTTACCAGCACTCTTATTTATGAATTAAAACTATATATTTGGAATGTTTATCTTACAAATATAGCATTTCATAAGCTGTAAAAGGCCAATATTTTTAATATGGTGTATGGTATAATATACAATACTACTGACATGTCATAGTATAAAATAATTCAAATATGATTTTATTTTTTAACTTACTGAGGTAGCTGTTTTTTACCACTGGTTTAAATAGCTTTTTTGTTTCTCAATGATATATCTCCCATTTGTGCTGATGACACTGAAGCTGAAACTTTTTTTTTGTATTCTTGCTTTTGCAAGGACCTAAACTATCTGGAGGAAAAAAAAACACATGAAAATAAAAAGAAAGGCAATCTGCTGGAAGCTTCTGTAAAAATCAGCTTCAGAGATTTGGTAAATGTAGCTACAATTAAAACCAGGTTCTTTTAAGGGGAAGTACTTCTAGCTTTTATCAAAAGGGCTGTCTCAGTTCTGGCTATAATATTAAAGTTTATTCTATATTCTTTACTTGAACTTTTCCTTATGTTATGAAATGTTACTTCAGAAACATTTTTACAGTATTTAGAAAAAGAAATAAAAATTAAATAAAATCACTTAAAAATCGTATTTTTTTCTTTCTAATAGAATTGAAAATGTTTTCACTTTTTTTCGGAAACAAATAGAAAAATGAGAATAAGATTATTAAAATGTAGTAACTTTTAATTGGAAATGGCATAACTCATTCAATGAAGTTTTTTTTGAAGTATGCATTCTGACAACTTTCAGACCACTTTAACATTTTAAAATGATTTTTAATAACTACCGTTATGAGAATTTTAATTAGACTTACTGAAAAAGCAACCTTATTGAGAGAAAATTCATGAAGACGTTATCAATGAAAAAGTTTTACTTAAAAACATTGAATTTTGCTCCAAACTATGTCTAAGCTGTCACTCTTTGCTGCCCTAGTTGGTAAGTCGGGGCCATTTTATGTTAAGGAGAATTTGCACCTCAACTGTTAATTCTTCTCCGTCATATGTACTAGTTCGGTGATGTATATACATTTATGCTCCAAGACACATGATGCAGACTGCAGAGAGTGATTTTATTCAACACGTTAAAATTTGCATGGCTCCCATGGTGTTAATGCATATACTATCTTCCATGCAAAATATCATTATACACAAAGTAAGTTTTATTTTCGCTGTAGAGAGAAGCTACTCAAATGTATGCTTTTGATATTTTAACCTCTGTATTTTAGTCATGAAATGGTTAAGAGATACCTTTTCACAAACAGTTGTTAAATCTATTTCAGTTACTCAGATCTGGTTCGATAGTAAGGTCTGAACAAATTAAACAAGCACTCACCGCTGCCTTTTTATAGATAGGTATGATTCCAGTCTAAATTAAGAGCTGATGAACTACATGGCTTCACAATCATAAAAGTATTTGTATTTCTACTGCCTATTCAGGATTTATATTAGCACTGTAAATAAAGCAATAATATTTGACCGTATTACATGAAAATTCAAAGGGCCAGTTAGCAATGGGTGAATATTTATCATAAAAGCTGTCTCTCCATTTCTAAACTCCTAGTCCGGTTCCTTTAGGGCATATGCGAAATAACTTCCAAAGCTATATCGTAAATCTAAAGTTCCCAACTCTTAAAAACTGTGAACTCAGAGCTACTACTGACTTAACGGCTTATCACAGTTTCTCCCCAAGCTCACCCCCCAGCTAGCACTGTACTACTACACCGTGAACGTTGCCCTTCCCTTTATGTACTGCTTGTACTTTTTTCTGTTTCACGGAAGCCAGCAGCCTTTTCACTTCTTCCCTTGGTAACATGCCACTTGGATTGTCTAACAAAATTAAGTTTAACTGAGACCAAAACTGTTCCTTCGCTGACCAGAGTTTGTAGCTTGATGCTTCCATAGACCTGAAGAGTGTCTGGTGTGCCTTGAAACAGCCCTCGCCCCTTCTTTTTTCTCCAGCTATGTCAGGTGCTCCAGTGCTGTTTCCTACAAACCTTGCTTCGCCAACCTAATTTTAATGGAACATCTAAAAGTCAATAAGTTAGTATTTTGGGCTCTTATTTGAGCTATGTAGTTCAGAAAAATGTACCCGTCCCTATACAGCCACGCTTACCGTTCCCAAAACTGTAAAGAAAAGAAGGTATTATAGGGGTATATATGTTTTTCCTTGGCAAAAACACATGCACCAAGTTCTTATTTTCTACAGTGTCCAGTTGAAATGCCATAATAATATATGAAAGCAAAAGAACAGTTTCTTATAATATCAGTATTTTCATTTGGAGTACAGTGGCATCTTATAGCTCCTATTTTCTACTGCACTTAAAAAAGGAACATAGCAAATGATACTTTTTGCAGTAGTTAGGACTGTGAAGAGGTAAAGTTATTTGTATGAATCCACTTTGACAGTGAGACCAAGTAGATTTTTATATCCAGTCAAGGAACTTGAAATTTTTAGGAGATTGAGCCTATCTTTTTGCCCTGAACAGTCTTTTGCTTGGTTCCGTTGAACAAGCTAAACCGATAGGAAGATTAGTGGGAAAGTATGAAAATAAAAGTCCAGAGATGTGGATTTTGGCTGTTTGTTGACTCTGGGCAGTAGTGTCCCTGGGCAAGTCCTTCAGTTGCTCTGACTCTCGTTATCCCTACCTATACAATGGGATTTTAGATGTTTATTTTCCTCTATAGCATGTCTGAGGAAAAGCACTTATATAAGAGCTTGTGGCATTATATAATGTATGAGTTACAGTGTTGCCAGATCCTTCAGAGAGGAGACTTGGCTCTGCAGAAGCCTGTTAGCGTAGAGCAAAAAGATGTTCTGCTATAAATATTGCCGCTGTTTAGGTTCAGCCCAGAGTTGCTCCGTTTCCTTTCTTGAGGCAGTGCAGGTCTGTGAACAGATGTAATTTATCCAGTGTGTTTTCCCCATCTCGTACATTTTTAGAATGTGCTGCTGCACTGAGGTTTGCCGAATATATGTTGCTAACTACGTACCATGATAGCTTTCAAAATGGCCAGTTTAAAATAGTTTAGAAATTTAATTAATTCTAATCTCTTTCAAATTCATAAAGCCTCTGGATAACAGTAGTTCTTAGCCTTTTAAACATCAGTCAAGACAAATTCCTTAGGCTTGAAAATGAAGTGCAAAAGGAATGATGAAGATAAACATTAAAATCAGTAGCAATACAGTCAGTGATATTCAGGCTGAGAGGTTAGGAAAGAGAAAATAATAATTTTTAAACTTTCAATCTACAACGGAGAGATTTCAGTATAATGCAACAATTTCTGTACTGCGAGAGATATATATAGTTACTATCCTGCCTGTAATGCTGATCTGTAGCTGCATTATGCAAATCTGCGAACAAGCCTTGAGGTGTGCCTCTCTTTTACTTAAGGTGGCCATTTTTCTTTTTAAATATAGGAAACTAATGCTTATATCCTTTGAAGTGAAAGCTTTTTTTGTGAAGATTTCTATCACGATTAACTGATAATAGAATTCCATTTCAAAAATAATATTCTCTAAATTAGAAGAAACCGTTTGAAAGGTCCAGCTTATATTTGTCATCTGTCTTGAAGAGGTGGACAGCTGTTTATGAATATGGGAAAGGTGCTCCCTCCAGATCCTCTTCCAACAATTCACTGTTTATTTTCCATTTTCAGGTTTAATTTGCTTTTATTTCTTGTCCGAGACTTGGGACAGCTCCTTCTCACAGTAAGCATCTGTAGCTTGTTTCGGTGCAAAAGGATTCAGGGGACAGAACAGCAGGCTATTTTTTTTTTTTCCTCTCCTATGTTTTAGTTGTAGGAGTATGAAACTCGGTAGTGGAGCTTTGCATTGTTCTGTGCAAGTTTACAGTTCTGTCACCTATTTTAAGTTAAAAAATAGAAAAAAAAATTAAACCTGCGTAAGCAAACCTGATATTAGTGGGGCAAAGGCAGTACTGAGTTGTTCTTTACTCTGCTGGTAATGCAGTTCCCACAGAGTCCTTATGCAATTGAAATGTTGTTGTGGAGGCTGGTAGATCTTCCTGGTAATTAAGGCTGTCAAGCTGCTCATTCTTACAAGATCCAGCTTCTAAGTGCTTAAAATGTCAAAATTACTTAATAGAAATAGTAGCATCTATTTCTTTTCTTTTCTTTTTTGTATCAATCTGAGATTTTTTTTAGTTCACCTAGAAGAGGTCAGCTGACCCAGAGTGTGAACACTGTGAGGAAAAAAGAGTTCACCTCATTAAAAAAATTCATCTCACTTTCGTGGAAATGTTGAGCATCCCACACTTTATAACAAGCATGTGAAATTAGAAGGGGAGGGGTCGTCTTTATAATGATTTAAAGAAAAAGAAAAACTTGCCTAAACTTTGCAGAGAAACGTATCCCTGAAACATTGTAGTTTCCAAGTGCCCAGGGAAGGTTTCTTGATATTATTTTAGCAGCTAAAAATCTGATGACTTTGCCCATTCTGTGCATGCTAGACCTCTTGCAGCTCCTGTGTGATAATGAACTGTTTAAACTTCCTCTTCAGTGAATAATGAAATAACTCCAAGCCTGCTGAAAGCAGATATGCCTTGTAACGCATGGCTCAAGGCAGGGAGAAAATCAGGCACTATATTGACAACTGCGAACTCAGTGTTTTATGTGCTGTCGGTGACCTACTGGCATGTAGGACATACGGAGG